AGTAAATATTTTGCAAGTTATCACTCACTTGTAAAAGGAAAATGGTTGGGTGCTTGGATACACATTAGACATCTTTGCTAAAGATTCTTTTGCTGTTTTGTTTTCAAAGCATTTCTTTGAGATATAGCATACCAACCATATTCTGTGGATTTTCAAAAAATTATAATTAAACAGGGAGACAAAAAAGCTAACACTGATGGTTTAGAGATTTAAAAACACACTTATTTGAAAGCTATAAAATCAAGAGAGCGAAAGCACGTTTCTTCAACAGAGATCAACGCGGTGTGCGCTACTCCTCCAGAGAAGGTGTGAGGTGACTGAACAGAGTGGCACTGGGGAGACCTTTGACAGATGACAGGGAAGGTGACAGCCACATAGTTTAACGTTTTCAAAAGCGGCCTGATTAACAGCACTAAGACAGGCGGATGAACGGTCATTTATCCTGCTTCGTAGGGCATGAAGCGGCGCTGAAGCCCGGGTTCCACCCCAGGGTAGCTGTGCTTTTCCTGCTTGGCACAGTCAATAAAGCGCCTACTATACGGCCAGTACTTTGTCTATTTCCTGAGCACACGTCTCAAAACGAGGAAGGCATGGTCCCTCTCCTCGAGGAGTTAACGGGGTATCTGAGAAGAAGGGGTGTGTGTAAATTACCTGCAAAGCTGTTGCCCTGAAGACAAAGCACTCACTGCTTGAGATGTCTGAGCCCGGGACTCGGGGCATTTCTGCAGAGTCGTCAGGGAGGAGCAGGAACGTACCAGATAGAGTAGGCTGGGGAAAGCATGCCAAGAACAGCATGGCACGTATTTTATATTATTTCACACAAAAGGTGTTCTTTCATGATACTTGTCGGTATCGTTTTTATTCTGGATAGAGCATATCCTCGAATTAGTTAAGATTATTCATAAAATTCTCTGGAGCACTGAACCCCAACTGATGCTCACTGCCATTAAGTGATTAAAAAATAAATAAATAAAATCGAATCGACTGAACTCATGGAATCATTTTGAACCCTGGTGTTCTAGATCAAGAAGTCTCTGGGGCTCCTTGTTGGATTCCCATTCTCACTCTCCTTCCCAGGCTCCTCTTTCTCTGACACACCCGGAAGTGCTGTGCCCATGAGGCTGTCTCTCTGTGCCACAGCTAATCACTGAGCGTGCTCTACCTGGGTATATGACTAAAGTCTCTGCCAAATCCACCCATTAAAATATCCCCTGCCTACTACTCCCTTGCTTTAGGACCTTAGGAACCCCACCCCCTTTCTTTACTCCAGGCTGGATTTAGAATATGTATTACCTTTGTAATAATTATAATTTTTTTTTAAAAGACCAAAGATAAAAAAGTTACTTTTCAAACTCTTTGTTATCACCCAAAATAACTAATCTTTTATACTATAAAGCCTATTATTGTTAACTAGTGAAACAATTTCTTATTATAAAATGATACCTAGACACAATTCATTGTAATAACTCACCCTAAAGAACCATTAGCTGAAATTGCTTCTGTCTCCCTGAAATAGATACAGATAATTTTTCCTGGATCTACATAAACTTGGGCCCAATTAAATGAAAAAAGTACTAGGAGGCTGATAGGTACATAACAGGCGCTCAATAAAATTTAATGAATGCATTTTCTCTGCAATTATGACTAACTGCATCTGAAGGCATTATGCTAATTTTTGCAGGTACTCAGTATGAAAACAAGTTAAATATCAGTGCGATGCCCGTGTTTGTTAAAATAGTGAAAGCAGTCAACCATAACACAGTGTCTTAAGTGGGGATGGAAAAGTTTCTAAAAACTTTTTGTGAGGGAAGAAGAAAGCAGCCATTTCAAGTTGTATGAACAGATTTCAAAAGTTAGAAAAGGAGGAAAAGAATTCCTAAAGAAATTCCCTAGAAGATACATGAAACTGGGCAGAAAGTTTGCACAGTAGGTTAGGGCAACTTGGATTCAAACTTTGAGACAACTTGTGGGAAATACTAAAAATTTAGAATCGTTCTTTCAATTTTACATTTTAAAAAGCCAGTTAGTTGCAGGCTAGCATCACCAATCCTTTTAGCCACACAGGCCTCAGAGCAACGATATTCTTGTAACCATGGATACGACTCATCTAATCCCACCCAGACATTCATATATCCCATGGCTCATCTACGAAACCAACAACAGTGGAACAGCATGAAGGCATCTTCACTCTTAGAACTTTGTTACATACTATCAGAGCACTCAATAACTATTAACTGAGAAGGCAGCAGAATTCACTGGAATTGATGATGTTAAAAGTGGCTCATTTATACTTGCTGGAATAATGACCTCATAAATACCATTCTCAATAAATCATCCAACAAACAAATCGATCAACCAAGTTGGCCTACATAGAACCGTTCTGTAAAATGTTAGGCACACAAAGATACATAACCCTTGGTTTCTGTCTCTGATGAACTTATATCTTGTTAAATTAGTACAGAACATTATATTTGAGCTTAGAAAATTTTATTAATCACGTTGTATATATTTTCAAAAGAAATTTTAACAGCCGTCACAAAAATCTATGTTTCATTAAAGCTTCTGAAATGACTGATAATACCTTCTGCTCATATGATGCTGTGCAATACAGTAAGCATTTGCATATTTGGTGCATCTAACCTCAGAACTGTTAGGCTGTCAGGGTGGAAATGAGAGCACTGAGCTCTAACGCAGTTGCTCAAACTTAGCACTCGCTCGAGGACACACAGCTGGTAAGTGGCAAAACTGGGACCCTAACAAAGCATTTCTCATTCCAGTCTCAGTCTTCTTCCCAATATCACGTTATTTCTTAAACAGATGACTTTGATTAAGTGTGACTTCAGAATTTCAATGTTGGTGCTTCTTTTATGTGTGAAAAGTTCAAAGAAATGAGGTGCTTTCTAGCAGGGAAATGAGGGATTTCCCTAGTAGTTACGTCTCGGGGAAAAATTTAATTCTTCAGAAACACTCACGAAATGCATTTAATTTCACTCTTTCCTCCAAATAAAACTTTCAGGAGCAGGGTTACCAGTAAAAAGGATAAATTTAAGTTTTGCATGTCGGTATTTTGGAATATATCAAGAAGGTATTAGAGGTCGGTCTTGTAAGTCACTCTGTTTAATGAATTTACCTACGAGTATCACCTTTTCCTGAGAGGGAGGCCACTTCCCCATCTTGGACTACAGCAAACTTTTTGATTTTACAGAATAGTGACATGGGGAGGTCTAGCAATCAGTTTGTTGCCAAATCGGATTACCCTGAAGGAAAGAAGTGAAAATAGATTAGGAAGATCTCTCATGTCTCAGTACTGCGGATGCTGACCGAAGACACCACGCACCTTTCCCCCTTCCGTATCTAACTCTGAAGCATCTTTTAAAAAGCTGATAACTAAAAACTGTTCAGGCAAGATGCTGGGTTGAAGGACAAAAGTTGAAGAAAGTATAGTTGCATTATTTACCAAGTCAGAGCTTCTGCTTTGTTTATACAAGATACAGTGAATAATGGAAATTTCAAAACCTTCTTATTCCTGCTATTGTTTTTCTCTAGGACGAATAAGAATACTAGAGCCCAGACTTCATTGAACACATATATTTTCATTTCATTCAAATACTACTTACACTGCACAAAGTAAACATTACTTTGTTCTGGTATTTTGGTTTTTCCTTTTTAAAAAAAAAAAAAACCTCTACAGTATCTTCCAAACTGCCCACAAGACCAAACTGAAATGTTTTCAGAACAAAAATTTAACTCTAGAAAATACTTTAGGTATTTATCTCTTCTCCCTCTTTTTCAGCCGCCTAACAATAGTAAGCTATTTTAATAGTTTTGTTAGCTTTTTGAGGCCATTTCAGTAATCTTCAGTTGGCTTCGAATTCGGTGTTTCACGGCAATTAGGTTAAATGGTATTCCAGTAGCCTGAAATGCTGAGTGCTAACTTTCCCAAAGTCAGGTGATTTTAAAAAATATCTTCTTTTGTGTGTAGCAGTCTAATTTCCACTACGATCTGACCTGCAGGTTTCCTTGTTTAGTTTTTTCATGTATTTCATTTTGTTTATAAAATGCAATGCTAAATATCCACAGTGACATAACCTCAGATTCTTTAATCGTGTTACTACTACATTGATGTATAGTACTCCCGTTGAGAGACGGCATCTATGAGTCTGAGCTGCGTGACTGCTGGACCTATAGAATACAGAGGCAAAAATGTGCCCTTTTCTGGAAGCTTCTACTTCCTGTCTTTTGAAGTGGTTGTTCTTGGAACACGGAGACATGCTTGGAGAGTCAAGCCTCCCTCCCTGATGCTGTATTGAGAACAGATAAGCTTCCTCACCAAGCCCTAATGAAACTGCACATTTGTGGATAAAATAAATAATTGTTTAAAGGCACTAAGCTTTGCAGTGGTTACTTATGCAGCAACAGAGCATCAGAAATGCATCCTGACAATGGCCTTGTAAAGACTATCATCATCGAATAGTGTTCGTTCGGGCAACTACCTAGACACGAAATGGTGCTGGATACTAGGGCAATAATCAAGATAGAGAATGGTTATTATACCCAACAGTTAATACTCCAAGATGGTGGTACTTATACAAGCTACGGAGGGACTATATAAACCTTAAAGGCAATCTCAAATTCCAGTCCTACTGTTCCTTTTCCCTTTCTAAGGGTCCTAAACCTTGTGGGCCTAATGGTAAAAAAATGTTGGGATCTCAGTAGCAAGGAATGGGGGAAGAAAAAGACTCTGGCCACACGGTCACTGCACGAGGGAGCTATGACCTGAATCTTGCTAGTCTCACTGCCGGGCCTGTGCTCCCAACTGCCATCCCAGGAATCACAAATCCTTATCAGTTACACATCTTGCATAGGGCCCAGATACACACAGTACTACCAATATGTCTCTTAAATAGCAGTGAAGCTTGCTGCCTTTTTAAGAAAAAAATAATAACTGTTTTCTACTTTAATATGCATTATGCTGCCTCCCCTCATAGGATATGTTTCATCTGTATTTCTGACACCAGAGAGATTTTCATCACTGTTAAACATCATTCTTTGGTATTTCGATAATATATTGAATTCTGATCTCAAAGTCAACATGAAACACATCATAAAATCTGTTTTTCAAGGAAATGTGTGGCGGGAGAGCTGGAGTTGAAAGCATATATCTATTAATAACTCTGATTTAATAAAAAAAAACTTATTCCAGACTTATCCTGGTGGTTATTGTGTGTCTGGGGCAAGTGCCTATTTTGGCCATGACCAAACTTCAGCAAACACTAATTCTCCTACGTCTTCACTGCTTAGGCTGTTAAGTGTAAAAGTAATGGCCAATAGCTGATTGAAAGCTAGAGTGGTGAGTATGTACAAGTTTGCATAGGCAAAGCCAACCAACCAGATGACCCAAGTAATCCCAGCATTTTTGATGTTTACTTGTTAAAGAAATACTTTCCAAATTCAAATGACCATTAAAAAGAATTTTCGGAAACTCAGAAGAACCTAGAAGTAAATTTGAATTAACCATAAAATACTAAGTTGAGATGGGTCAATGTTTCTTATTAGAAAGATGACTATTCACATTCTCTCTCTCTCTCTCTCTTGCCCCCGCTCCCCATCCCTTCGTCCCTCCGTCAGTTCTCTCATGGTTTGAAACTTCGTCTTCCACACCAGTGATACCCAAATCTACACGAAGTTTAGCTAACGATGCTCTTGAGAACTCTAGATCAGATCCAGATCTCATTTCCCATTGCATTCTTAATATTTCTGTCTGTGCC